GAGGGGGGTGTTAGGGGAATGTATTTTGGGGAAGTGAGTGTATCTGTGAGTGTGCGTGTAAATGAATTAAACTAAAATCTGCAGAACTTTCAGATTTTCTTTGAATTAGCTAGTGCTTCTGTTTAGTGAGGCTGTCAAGTATTTTAATGAGTTTTTTTGGGGGGTTTACAGCTGTTTTTGGATTAGCTGTGTTCTGTTTAAGTGGACTCCTCTGTAGTTTGTGTATGTGTGTCTGTGTGCGCTAATGTGTGTTTTTCTCATGTGTGTGTATGTGTGTATATTTATGTGTGTGTTTCTGTATGCATGAATGTGCGAGTGTGTGTATATTCGCTTGTGTGCTTGTGTGTACAAGACTAGGTTTTAACAGGTCTCTCATTGCATTTTTGATGTGTGCTAGTGTGTTTATGTAGGATCCAGCATTCTTTTATGTTGATTTCTGAGTCAGACAAATTTTAAAAAAATCAATTTTGAACCTGTTTCTTTATTTACCTTTCAGCTTTTAGGTTTTCAGACGTTCTTTCTGTCTATGAACTTGCCATACAATCTGAAACGTGGAGAGGTATTCTCTCTGCGGGTCACAGTCTTCAACTATCGAGGCCAGGCACTAGATGTAAGTTTACTGCTTAAATACATTTTTACCTGTTTGTGTATCTGTATGGGCCATCAAAGTATCTATTTTTCCATCTGTCTATTTGTGTTGGCCCCCAAAATACTGGTTTACTTGTCTATCTTTATTTATCATCAAAGTATTATATGTTTGCCTGTCTATGGGCCTTCAAAATACCAATTTATCAGACTTTTTATCTATATGCCCCTCAAAGTACATATGTGAGGCAGCATGGTGAAATCAGGCGCTCGTCAAAATAGGAAACGTGAAGAAACTAGCTTTTTTCCGCAGGTTTGGTAATTTTTATAGAATTTTTGTTTTTTGGCTCAACACCTTTCATGCCCTTTAAAGAACACATTTCTGTGTGGATTGTCCTGAAAACAGTTGATTTAAGGCATAAGAGATGTAAATTTTCAGTTTCCATGGCCTCTCAAGCTTAGGAAATGACTCAGCTTTGGCGGCTATTTTCTCGGTAATTTTACCTCTGATACAAGCCCACCCCTCCTCTTTCAATTACTAATATCTTGACTTGTATCCAAAATAAATAGATATTGTTTTCGTCCAAAGCAAGGCAAATGGACAAGCTTTAAGATGATACAAGTAATTCCATATGCCCCAAAATTGACGAGAGCCTGATTTCACCACGCTGCCTCACATATTTATCTGTCTATATATATTTTTATTGGCCTTCCAAATACCTAATAAGCTTTCTGTCTGTCTGCATGAGCCATGACAGTACCCAAGTAAATATGTGAGACATCGTGAGAAATCATGTGCTTGTCAAAATAATGAAATCAAAGACACCTGCATTTTTCTGCCTGTTTTGGTAAGTTTTATCGAATTTTTGTTTTTTGACTCTACACATGTTTAGTCCATTTAAAAACACATTTGTGTGTGGATTTTTACTTAAAAACGTTGATTTAAATTTATGGCACCAAAAATAAAAATTTGCAGTTTTCAATGACTCTCAAGCTTTGGAAGTCATCAAATTTTATGGTCATTTTCTCATTAATATACCTCTGAAACCAGGCAACACCCACCTTCAATTTCAAATATCTTGACTCATATTTAAGATAAATGATATTTTTCACTATAATCACAAGCTTTTAGGTGATACAATAACTCTACATGCTCAAAAATCGACAAGCGCCTTATTACACCACGTCGTAACACATATCTGTCTGCCTATCTGTTTGGGTAATCAAATACCAAGTTATCTTTCTGCCTATCTGTATGGGCCATCCTCAAAAAGTAGGCACTGAGGGGGGTCAGGAGTTAGCCACTGGTAGGTTCTCCTTCTTTCCATTCTGATGTTTCTGTCTGTTTGTTTTGCTCTTTCCCAGAACTAAATCATAACAGCTTTTATTGTTTTGACAAGTTCCTCTTTTCTCCAACTAAAGATGAGCATTGATGGAGTGCCTCGTATTATAAAAGAATAAAACAGACACATTCAGGCAGTGTATCAGGACTGTCTCTTTGATCATGGAGAAGCTGCGGCTGAGGTAGTTTTCTGAGAGGTCATGTTCAAATTAGGACGAACTGGCTGAGTATTAAAAATCTTTAAGAAACAAACCATATTCCAAGATTTTAGTCCAATGAACTTGATTTGATTGTACTGACACCCCCCCCCCCCCAGTAAATTGGTTCCTGTTTTGTCCCTTTGAATATATTTAATCTCTTGAGGGTGTAATTTTAGAAGGGTGGACAATTTCAGCAGCGTCAAATGTTGAGAAATATCACAAAAGAACCAATTTTAGAATAGGCAGTCTTAATTTCACAAGAAGAGACAAACGTAGTTCCCAGGACACATGTATGGATATAAAGACTTTGAATATTGCTCTCCCTGAAAAAAAAAAAAGAAATGTAAAACAGGCAAAAGTAGACCAAAAATAACATACCAAGGGAGCTTGAAGTGATTAGGGATGGGAAAAGACCAGAGATTTTTTTTTAGATCATCCAAGCAGATAAGTGTTGGTGAACCATGGTCATCGATGTCTGTCTCAGAGTTGGAAAAAGTCTCGGTTCACTTTCTCTCCCCAGAATAATGTCTGCCATATCCTTAAATAGAGGCCTGTAAGCTGGTTCTTTGTTAAAGTCACCAATGTCATGATAATTAATTTTTGTGTTTGTATGTTGTGCTGCTCCTCAGACTGTGGTAAGGCTGAGACAGAACAGCTCTCAGTTTGCAGTGGACAATGCCATAATGTTCGATGGCTGGTTTGAAAAAACAGTTAGTGTAAGTATTGCTTTTTTTTAAAGTCAAAGTTATAGCCTAGAGGGTAAAGTATCTCTGTCAGTGGGCAGGGGTAGGGATCAGGGCAACTGCAGGCATGAGTGCTAAAGATGGAAATGATTCATGAACATTCATATTTACATCTGTAGGCCTATTATTGTGATATTTACTTTGATATAAGGTCTCTTTTTTTCCCGTCTTATGCAACGCTTATGCTTAATGCATTGTTTTTGAACTGATGAATGTAAGTAGACTTGAACTTACATTAGAAAGAGAACAAATGGACAAGTAAGTTTGAATGTCTTCTGTGTTGTAAAAAAAAGGTTAATAATTAATAATAGCCTCCGAAAGGCATTGTTATGAAGAATTTCTATATCTAGTACCCCTTTTCTGCTTCCAGCAAGATGTTAAACTTTTAAGCTTTCCTAAACTCTCCATCCATTTCTTGTTTCTTAGCTGAGGCCAAATCTGGCTTCGAGTGTGGAGTTCAAAATCAGAGCGACAACTGTGGGTTATATAGATCTGCAGGTACAGGCTGGAGACCCTGAAAATGGGCCATTTGATCAAGTGCAGCGCAAGCTCTTGGTAAAGGTGAGAGGGCATTGTGGCATTCTGTATATAAAGATGTTACTTTTTCTGATTTACATCACTTGGCAAATTTATGTCCCATTTCCCGGAAAAAAGTACAACAAAAACAATTTTTACTTTTAAAACTACTTGATCTTCGTCTATTTTTAGAAGCAGGTTCTATAAATGTATATTTTTTTCCACGCGTGTGATTTTGTATGAACTTTTTTAGTTCAGATTAACTGTAGAAAATTTTATGGAGTAATTAAAATGAATGCTAAAGGCATTTTTGTACAGCTTTTTGTTAAATTGTTATTTTTTTTGCATGGGTAAAAGTTCATGTAAAATGTAATGCTTGCAAAAAGCATAAACACAATTGTGATACAAGTTTGATGGATAAAAAGATACAGGTTTAAATTAGTTGAGGAAATATTTCTACCTGTTGAACGAAATTGTTGTCCTCCAAAAACTCGCTTGCCTGTATCCGGCTTAAATTTGAAGCAATTCTAATGACAGCAGCCCCTTGCAGTTTCTTATTGACTTACATTTTTAAAGAACAGTTTGGAAAATCTGTTCAGCTTAAACTGAAATAAAACGAGATTGCACTAGATTAGGTTGAGAATCATGTTAATCAAAATATGCATTTATCAGTGGTTATTATTCTAACTCATTCTAAGGAATATTATGGAACAAATGAAGTTGATGTGTATTATTTCTTATTATTACCAGTTTTTATGTTCTGGTTAGATAGGGCTTTGAGTGAGTTTAAAGAGAATTTAGCTATGGATTTGAATGTTTAATTTCAAAGTCAAATGATTTTTCTTTTACTTTTTGTTGTATTTTCCTATTTGATAGCCTGAAGGAGTGGAGAGACGCAATGCCATGACAGAAATACTGACTGTGGATGAGGGTGTTGTGAGTGAGACATTCAAAATTGATTGGCCGTATGAGAAGATGGTGCCTGACTCGCAGCGTGTGGCTGTCAAAATTACAGGTATGACTTGCTATATACACAATGCATCATTTTGTGATAAAATAAATACTATCAGACCATATGCGTAAAAACTGTTCACGCTTGATTCCAGCGGGCTCTTGTAGTCTAGAGGTACAGTGTTTGGCTCTCATTTTATAGATCCCAGGTGTGACACCTGACAACGATGGAAAAGTTTCTCCTCTTAAAAGTTTTTTTCCTTTCTCCTCCTTTTCTGCTCTCTAATCATGTTCTGTCATCTGTTTTTAATCTCCATTTTCTGTCCCCCTCCCCCACTTTGGGCTCCTGACTCTATCTGCAGCCTTTCTGCTTCTACTTCTTGGCTCTTTAACTACTGTCTTTCAGCCACATCCTTGATCTTAGGGTAGGTAAGATTTAACACCTAGTCTTCTCAGATATGGGCAAAAAAATCTGAGAGGTCCCGTGTGCTAGCTGCACGCGTTAAAGATTCCTTAGTGGTCCTGAAACTGATAAGAGTAGGCTTTGGCCACCACGCGTTCAAAATTCAAAATTAATTCCTACCAAACTGAAACATGTGACTTTATGCAGTTGTGAGCGCTGTAAAACATCTAGATCTACCAAAAAATAAAATTCTCAATTCTTTTGATGGTCTATAAAGCGATAATTGCACATACCATTATGGCAAAATTGACAGTTATTTATTAAATTGTTTTGGGAATGAACTATTTCTGTTCCTGAAATAAAGTGGAAAGGAATCAAGATATCAGACATAAAGTTTTGAGAGATTGTCTCACTCAATGAAGCTGAAAATGACAAGCCCTGTTTTCAATACTGCGTGATTCTCCTGTCAACCTTTTCCCTCTTTTAATGAAAGTTGATTAAAGATCCTTTAGGAAAATTCTGTTAAGCTTTCTGTGGTGTATGGTGTCATTTTTTTTTTTAGG